TGGGTCTCCGCCTCTTTTGCGTGGCAGGCGTGGCACAATGGGCACTGCCAAGGGGTCGGATGTACGCCCTGGCGTCCCTTGGGTCTCCGCCTCTTTTGCGTGGCAGGCGTGGCACAATGTGCACTGCCAAGGGGTCGGATGTACGCCCTGGCGTCCCTTGGGTCTCCGCCTCTTTTGCGTTGCAGGCGTGGCCCCCCCACAATGTGCACTGCCCAGGGGGTCGCGGATGTAGCCCTGCGTCGCTTGGAGTCTCGGTCCGCCTCTTTTGCGTGGCAGGCGTGGCACAATGTGCACTGCCAAGGGTCGGATGTACGCCCCCTGGCGTCCCTTGGGTCTTCCGCCTCTTTTGCGTGGCGACATCGTGGCACATGTCCTGCCAAGGGTCGGTGTACGCCCCATGGCGTCCCTTATGTATCTCCGCCTCTTTTGCGTGGCAGTCGTGGCACAATGTGCACTGCCAAGGGGTCGGATGTATGTCCTAGCGTCCCTCGGGCTCCGCCGCTTTTGCGTGGCCCGCGTGGGACAATGTGTACTGCCAAGGGGTCGGATTTACGCCCTGGCGTCCCTCGGGCTCCGCGTTTTTTGCGTGGCAGGCGTGGGGCAATGTGAGCAGCCAAGGGGTCGGATGCACGCCCTGGCGTCCCTCGGGCCCCGCGTTTTTTGCGTGGCAGGCGTGGAACAATGTGAGCAGCCAAGGGGTCGGATGTACGCCCTGGCGTCCCTCGGGCTCCGCATTTTTTTCCTTGGCAGGCGTGGGACAATGTGCACTGCCAAGGGGTCGGATGTACGTCCTGGCGTCCCTCGGGCTCCGCGTCTTTTGCGTGGCAGGCGTGGGACAATGTGCACTGCCAAGGGGTCGGATGTACGCCCTGGCGTCCCTTGGGTCTCCGCCTCTTTTGCGTGGCAGGCGTGGCACAATGTGCACTGCCAAGGGGTCGGATGTACGCCCTGGCGTCCCTTGGGTCTCCGCCTCTTTTGCGTGGCAGGCGTGGCACAATGTGCACTGCGGCGTGGCTTTTGCGTGGCAGGCGTGGGACACTGTGCTCATACTCATTCACACTCACTCATTCACTTTTTTCACTTTCACTCATTTTGAATCACTGACTCATTCGCTGAAATCACTCCTGCACTCACTCACTCACTCACTCACTCACTCACTCACTCACTCACTCACTCACCCGCTCACCCGCTCACCCACTCACACACACACACACACTCAATCACTCAATCACTCACTCACTCACTCCCTCACTCCCTCCCTCCCTCACTCACCCACTCACTCACTCACTCACTCACTTCACTTCACTTCACTTCACTTCACTTCATTTCATTTCACTTCACTCACACACTCACTCACTCACATACATCATCATCATCATCGTCATCATCATCATCATCATCACCATCATCATCATCATCATCATCATCATGTGCCAGCGATGTTTACCAGCCACAGGGCATGCAGAAAGAGATCACAAAATGTGCGGCTGCGCTCGAAAGAGTGCAGAACATTACTTTGGTCAGCGGAAGTATGGTGAGCACACCATCGTTTTGATAGTGTGTCGGAAAAAAAAACATCAGAGCCTGGTGGAACTCGATGAAAGCGAAGCAACTTACTCACAAACAACTTACCCTACGTACATACATACATAGATACCTAAATACATACATACATACCTACCTATCTACCTACCTACCTACCTACATACATACCACCATCGTCCCTCCATCACTCTTATCCTTCCTCTTCCCTTCTTGCTTTTCTATGCTCAGTCTAAGTCTAGAGAAGTTGGTAACATGTGGGGTTATCCGGTCCTATAATGTTTTTCTATTAAAAAACACAATCTATACATATTCCCAAATATGTCCTAATTACAACAATGCCAACTCTTGAGAGTGATTTCCTCTCCATGGGTAAGTCCATATCATGAGCTTCACAATCCCCAACCATGCAGCTTCACAACCTCCAGCAAGAAAGGCGACGACGACCACCACCACAACAACAACAACAACGACGACAACAACAACAACAAACACATCACATGCAACAACACATACAACAAATACAACACATACAACACATACAACACATACAACACATACAGCAAATACAACAAATACAACACATACAACAAATACAAACGCAAATGCAATACCAATCAACCAATCAATCCAAACATAACATACAGTTGTGGCCATTTATTAGTTATAACTGGTTATAAATGGGATTATACATTCTATAAATGGGGTTATAAGTACTTATAACTGGTAAAGGGCCATAACTGTAGGTGTATTCATTACACCCATTTCTTTCAGGATGGTTTACGCGAAGGTTAAATCAAAGTGGACGCTACTGCGCTTGGACGTCGGTTGATGCCGCAGCGCCACGGGTATCAAACGTCGGTTGTGCCCACGATCCAATGGCTGTTGGATCCACGAAGCTCAGCCATTGGATCCACAGAGGTTCCAGAGATGAAATGGATGAAGCTTGCCACCATGATGGCGTCCATGATGTGGTGCAAATGGTACTGGTAAAACACTCATCAACCATAGTTATATAACTATAGTCAACTGATCACTGTTACCTTTTTTTCTGAACCCCACCCATGTTTGATGGGTTATGACCCATCTAGCTATAGTTAGTTACTTTCCATCAGCCCAACAGTTATCCTGGGGAACTAAACACACTTTACTAAGGGCATTGCGGACAGTGGCATCTAGCTGTCAACCCAGTTATTCACCGAGTTGTTAACTAGCCAATAACCTATTTATTAAACTTCTTATTACCTACATAATCCCATCCTCCTAATATTAGACACCATCTACATGGTCCCAAGGGTATGTATATAAACCCCCCAAACAAAAATCATGGCTTCTTGAGGGGTGCGCAATGTTTTGGGGGACCGTTATAAACCATTCTATCCCCTTCCCATGACAAAATCACCATTGACAGATGTATTTTTCCTATATTTTCCCACATGAATTCCCATGGTTGTTTTATATTTGGTAGGTGGTTTCAAACACAATGTATATATTTTCCATAATGGGATAATCCTTCCCGTTGACGAACTCATATTTTTCAGAGGGGTAGGTATACCACCAACCAGTCATATTACTACTATGATTGCTATTATTATAATTAGGAAAATAATCTACAAATGGAACATAGCCATCTATTATGGGAATAACAATCCCAACTGACGAACTCATATTTTTCAGAGGGGTAGGTATACCACCAACCAGTCAATAGTTATCAACTGTTCCACAATAGTGTAATATAGCCATTAATTGATAACTATTTCCGTGGTTCATTATCAATTTCCATGGTTAATAACCACCAACCAGCCATGGTTGTTTGATATTCAGACAGCGTCAGGTGAGAAGTTTGGTGGTCTACATCTACTGCCTCCTCCAAGAAGCCTGGAACACTTATGGTCCCTCGCTGCGTTGCGTTTGTTGCGTTGGCGCTTCGTTGGGCAGGGCGCCATTTTGTTAAAACGGGATCCCCCGTTGAAGCCCCCATAGATGTAAATGAGCCTTAATATACATATATATATATATATTTGTATATATATATATATTTGTATATATATATATATCTACAATATGTATGTATATGTATGTAATCATATATTACTTGATAATCAAGGGTGGTAGTTGGTGATGATAATCTCATCAAATGTTTAGTGATATGAAAAAAGAACACGTTTCCAACCAGAAATAACTGCTAATGCATTGTGTGGAAACCGGAGTTTCAACCATTTGTCGCAAGACTTTACAACTTCTGTTGTCTCTTCAGTTATGGCCATTTACCAGTTATAACTGGTTATAAATGGGATTATACATTCTATAAATGGGGGTATAAGTACTTATAACTGATAAATGGCCAAAACTGTTCAGATGCTCACACATGTTGTTGGAACGGAAGTAACGCAAATTTGAAGTGAGCATCACTTTGGGATGATGTGAGTCGCATTCCAAACCATCCGAAAAAAAAATACCATCAATCGATATACATGGTTGCTATAAACCATCAAAAAATATGAATATCATATGGTTGATGATTGCTTTACTCACATTCTTCGAACAGGTTTTGTTTGGTCCAAGAATCATTGGTGGGGTTGGCCGCCGAGCTGGGTTTCCCAGGTAGGAAGCGCTTGTTGGACGGAAAGTGTTCCGGAAACCCAGACCTGGACCTTGAGTTTTTCTTTTTGTGGATATATCTATTACCCTCTGGTAAATTAACATAGACCCTGAAAATAGCTTAGTTTTAATGGAAACTAATCTTCCAACCCCTATCTGCCAGGGTCTATGTTAATTTACCAGAGGGTAAATTATATACATATATATATATAATTATATATATATATATTAAATTATATACCCTTTGGTAAACTAACATCGCAATGGAAAATCACCACTTTTAATGGGAAAACTCACTATAAATGGCAATTTTCAATAGTTATGTTAGTTTACCAGAGGGTGTATATATATATATATAGCTAGATTTCCTACCGATTTGTTAATCATATTATTTAGGGCATTTAGGGCATTTAGGGTAGTGCTAAGATGAATCATCATAATGTATGCTGCATGCTTGATGTCTATTGGTTTACAATCTCAAAGCTTGGATATGTGTGTTATTTTATTTGACTTCGCGGACATTTCCTAGTTGTTGGCGGCTCCGATTGCTGAAAATCAGGATGAGTTCAGGATGTCTATATAGTTGGACCAAGCCAGTCAGAATATGACATTATCAATGAAATCACTGAAATTTGGATCTTCATTCCAATTGATCCTTTAAAAAAAACACATACCTTGATCATCAAACGGAACTTATTGTAGATATAGATACTCATATACATAAGTGGGATCATCAAACTATCATTAACCATATCAGGTATAATTTCATTATAGTGTTTCCCAAACTTTTAATTTCGGGTGTGTCAAAGACTTCTTCCATTTGGTCAAATCGCTTCGGCACTTGCCGCTGATGGCCAATGTCTGCCAGCTGGATTGCGCAAGCAGAGCAACTTGACGTTACGGCAGGATGTTTTTTCCTGGTTTATAGCTGGTGAATACCCTCTGGTAAACTAACATAGCTATGGAAAATCACTATTTTTAATGGGTAAATCCACTATAAATGGTGATTTTCAATAGTTATGTTAGTTTACCAGAGGGTAACGGAAATGGGATCATTATTTCCCTGATCCAAACACCTCCTCGAAGGTACACACCCCCCAGTCATCATTTGATATTGGAGGAGTATGCTGAGTATACTGCAGTACCCAACCATTTGTTGATTGCAATCCACATGGCAGCGGTGTACGTGGGAAATCACATGGATCAACCCCAATGGACGTGTTGTGGGGCTTCCCTTGCAGTGGTATCTATGCAGTACCCCAATAGCTGGTTGGTTTAAAATAATGTTGGCTCCTGATTAGTGTGGTGATTCGCTATTGTTTCATTTTTTTTGAAATTTCTTGTGAACCTGTGGAATTGATTGGGGGGGTCGGTATTGTTTCCAATTTTTTTTGGGGCTAATTTTTCAGTTTTTTTTGTTTTTAATGATTAAATTGTTTAAATTATACTTTATTTTGTTGTTTAATTTATTTTATTGTTTTAATTAGTTTTTCAGTTTTTTCAATATTTGTTCAGTTTTCAGTTTTGTTTATATTTGTTAATGCATTTTTTCAACTAATTTATATATATATATATAACATGTTTTCAGTTTTTTGTTTAAATATGTTTTATAGACTTTCATGAATCAGTGCTCTCCGCCGCACATGCGTGCGAAGGTTGTTTGGGAGGTATGGGGTGCATCCGCTTCCAGAAATCTGTAATTTTGGGGTTTCGCATGGCCCACTTCCGGCTCCTGGTGTATTAAGAATAGACCCAAGTTGGTGGCTCGAACTAGGTAGCGAGCAGCCAGGGTTTGCAAGTCTGCAGGTTGGGGTAGTTTAATACTATATTATTTTATAAAGTATATACACACTCGACTCGACTCAAGCTAGGTACTACTCTAGTACTACTTGTCTACTTGTGACTTGTGATTCTGAAATATTTTCTTAGTTGGTTTTTCTCTGTTGGGGAGTTCTTGGAACACAGAAATTTGAAAACTACAGAGCCAGAGCCTGAGCCAAAGACATATTTACTAACGACAACGCAGTATGGAGACTTTGAACACTCAAGTAAGTATGGATTTTTGTTGTCAGCATCGTTGTTTTCAGAGAAACAAATTTGTTTGAATTTGATGAGTTTAGGGTATTCTCCAAACACAAACTCTGAGGAGTTTTGACAGTTTTGATAGCTTTTTTCATTTGCAAAAACAACAACAATACAATCTTGCAGGCCACATATATGCTTGTAGATTTTGGCAACAGAGATTGGAAAACTCTCCCTCCCGACTTGACTCCCAACTATATAATTGTTTTCGTGTAGCAAAATTTTGTTCTCGAGAAACCCTTACGACTTTTTGAACCCAAACGGGACTCAATCTCAATCTCTGAGTTTTTTTTTTCGTGTCCATGGTTTTCAGAAGAAAATGAGTTCGGACCTGGACATTGGAGATCTTGAGAACCTCTGAGCCTCTGAGTTTGTTTTTTTTTTTTCTCCAGTTCATTTTTTTCAGGAACAAATGAGTTTGGAGATTTTGCACCTGAGTTTGGAGAATTCTCCAAACTCAACTCTTGAGTTTGGAAAATTCTCCAACCTCAGAAAAAAAAATCTTTTGAATCTGAGTTTGGAGAATTCTCCAAACTCAGCACTTGAATTTGGAGAATTCTCCAAACTCATTTTGGTCTTTGAAAAAAAACATGTTTTCGGATTTTGTTTCTTTTGAATCTGAGTTCGGGGAAATCTCCAAACTCAATCCTTGAGTTTGGAGAATTCTCCAAACTCAACCTCTGAGTGTGTGTATTTTTTAAATTTCGTTTTTTTTTTCGAAAAAAATGAGTTTGGGAATTTTGAATCTCCAAACTCAACCTCTGAGTGCGTGTATTTTTTAAATTTCGTTTTTTTTTTCGAAAAAAATAAGTTTGGAGATTTTGACCCTGAGTTTGGAGAAAATCTCCAAACTCAACCCTTGAGTTTGGAGAATTCTCCAAACTCAGAAAAAAATATTTTGAATCTGAGTTTGGAGAATTCTCCAAACTCAGCACTTGAGGTTGGAGAATTCTCCAAACTCATTTTGGTTTTTGAAAAAAAAACATGTTTTTCGGGATTTTGTTTCTTTTGAATCTGAGTTTCGCTAAATCTCCAAACTCAACCCTTGAGTTTGGAGAATTCTCCAAACTCAACCTCTGAGTGTGTGTATTTTTTAAATTTCGTTTTTTTTTTCGAAAAAAATGAGTTTGGAGATTTTGAACCTGAGTTTGGAGAAAATCTCCAAACCCAAAAAAAAATATGCGTGCGAAGCTTTTTTTTTGATACAAACAACACCCTCTGCACGCATATTTTGTTACCAAAAAAACCTTCGCACGCATATTTTTTTTTGAGTTTGGAGAAAAATCTCCAAACTCATTTTATTCGAAAAAAAAAAACGAAATTTAAAAAATACACACACTCAGAGGTTGAGTTTGGAGAATTCTCCAAACTCAAGGGTTGAGTTTGGAGATTTAGCGAAACTCAGATTCAAAAGAAACAAAATCCCGAAAAACATGTTTTTTTTTCAAAAACCAAAATGAGTTTGGAGAATTCTCCAAACTCAAGTGCCGAGTTTGGAGAATTCTCCAAACTCAGATTCAAAAGATTTTTTTCCTGAGTTTGGAGATTTCTCCAAACTCAAGGGTTGAGTTTGGAGATTTTCTCCAAACTCAAGGGTTGAGTTTGGAGATTTTCTCCAAACTCAGGTTCAAAATCTCCAAACTCATTTTTTTCGAAAAAAACAAAATTTTAAAAATACACACACTCAGAGGTTGAGTTTGGAGAATTCTCCAAACTCAAGGGTTGAGTTTGGAGATTTAGCGAAACTCAGATTCAAAAGAAACAAAATCCCGAAAACATGTTTTTTTCAAAAACCAAAATGAGTTTGGAGAATTCTCCAAACTCAAAATTAAAAGATTTTTTCTGAGTTTGGAGATTTCTCCAAACTCAAGAGTTGAGTTTGGAGAATTCTCCAAACACAAGGGTTGAGTTTGGAGAATTCTCCAAACTCAAGTTCAAAATCTCCAAATTCATTTTTTTCTGCAAAACAATGAATTGAAACAAATCCAAAACTCAGAGGTTGAGTTTGGAGAATTCTCCAAACTCAGATTCAAAAGAAAGATTTCTCTGCCTTTGGAGAAATCTCCAAACTCAAGGGTTGAGTTTGGAGAATTCTCCAAATTCCGGTTCAAAATCTCCAAACTCATTCGTTTCTCAAAAATCCAAACTCAGAGGTTGAGTTTGGAGTATTCTCCAAAGTCAATGGTTGAGAATTCTCCAAACTCAGGCTTTTTTCAAAAACACCTACAACCCTAAACCCTAAACTCTATGGTCAGAGGCCAGCAGCCTGGAATTAGGACTTTAACTTCAGTTTGAATTTGTTTCTTTAGGTTCAAGTTCTGCTGCTTTTTTCAAACACCCCCGTAACGGCCCGTAACCCTAAACCCTAAACTCCCTGGCAAAACGCCAGCAGCCTGGAATTTAGGACTTTAACTTTTAGTTAAAGTTAGTTGCTTTGGTATTTAGGTTCAAGTTCTGCTGTATTGAATATTGAATAGATTAATATTGAATATTGAATATTGATGAATATTGTATAAAACAAGGACTCAGGCTGACTCAGGGCCGATGTTTTTCAGTGGAGTCTAAACTAATGTTTTGACTGACGGGTTTTTGGTTAAATGTTTGCAGGAAACCCGTGAAAACTGACATGCTTGCACGCATATTCAAGTAGTTCCCCAGGTGATTCGCGAAAGTTAATAATATGTTTCATGTTTTTTCATAAGCAATATTGATCTTAAATAATATGTTAGTTTGTTGTGGTGGTTAACTGTTGTGTCCAGCTGTTGTCTGAAGAAACATTTTTGTTAATCTTAATAGATTCTAAATAATATGTTTGTTGTGGGGGTTCACTATTGTGTCCAGCTGCCGCCTGAGGTGAAAAAAACAAACACTCCTTGTTTTTTTCCTTTGCTAAAGTTTATTCTTTTATTTTCTTAGTTCCACTCTTTTGAAATTCTCAGGAATGTCCCATTTCCCAAAATATATGATGCCTTATTAAAACCCAATTAACAACCAGCACTCAGGCAATTTTTCAAGGGAGTAATCCATGAGCAACCCTGGTCCTCAATGGTATGTTTGTTTTGGGGGTTCACTATGGTGTCCAGCTGCTGCCTGGGGTGAAAATTGTCAAAATCTTCTCTCCTGTCCTTTTCCTTTCCTTTGCTAATACTTTTCTCTTTTTGACTTTCTTAGCCCCTTTCTTTTGGAATTCTCAAAATGACCAATTTCCCAAAATATATGATGCCTTATTAAAACCCAATTAACAACCAGCATTCAAACATTTGTTCAAATGGGTAGTCCATGAGCAACCCTGATCCTCAATAGTATGTTTGTTTTGGGGGTTAACTATTGTGTCCAGCTGTTGTCTGGGGTGAAAATTGTCAAAATCTTCTCTCCTGTCCTTTTCCTTTCCTTTGCTAATACGTTTCTCTTTTTGACTTTCTTAGCTCCATTCTTCTGGAATTCTCAAAATGTCCAATTTCCCAAAATATATGATGCCTTATTAAAACCCAATTAACAACCAGCACTCAGGCAATTTTTCAAGGGAGTAATCCATGAGCAACCCTGGTCCTCAATGGTATGTTTGTTTTGGGGGTTCACTATGGTGTCCAGCTGCTGCCTGGGGTGAAAATTGTCAAAATCTTCTCTCCTGTCCTTTTCCTTTCCTTTGCTAATACTTTTCTCTTTTTGACTTTCTTAGCCCCTTTCTTTTGGAATTCTCAAAATGACCAATTTCCCAAAATATATGATGCCTTATTAAAACCCAATTAACAACCAGCATTCAAACAATTGTTCAAATGGGTAGTCCATGAGCAACCCTGATCCTCAATAGTATGTTTGTTTTGGGGGTTAACTATTGTGTCCAGCTGTTGTCTGGTGTGAAAATTGTCAAAATCTTCTCTCCTGTCCTTTTCCTTTCCTTTGCTAATACGTTTCTCTTTTTGACTTTCTTAGCTCCATTCTTCTGGAATTCTCAAAATGTCCAATTTCCCAAAATATATGATGCCTTATTAAAACCCAATTAGCAACCAGCACTCAGACATTTTTTCAAGGTAGTAGTGCATGAGCCACCCTGATCCTCAATAGTATGTTTGTTTTGGGGGTTCACTATTGTGTCCAGCTGCTGCCTGGGGTGAAAATTGTCGAAATCATTCTTTCCTGTCCTTTTCCTTTCCTTTGCTAATACGTTTCTCTTTTTTACTTTCTTAGCTCCATTCTTTTGGAATTCTCAAAATGTCCAATTTCCCAAAATATATGATGCCTTATTAAAACCCAATTAACAACCAGCATTCAAACAATTGTTCAAATGGGTAGTCCATGAGCAACCCTGATCCTCAATAGTATGTTTGTTTTGGTGGTTCACTATTGTGTCCAGTTGTTGTCTGAGGTGAAAATTGTCAAAATCATTCTCTCCTGTCCTTTTCCTTTCCTTTGCTAATACTTTTCTCTTTTTTACTTTCTTAGCTCCATTCTTCTGGAATTCTCAAAATGTCCAATTTCCCAAAATATATGATGCCTTAATAAAACCCAATTAACAACCAGCACTCAGACATTTTTTCAAGGTAGTAGTGCATGAGCCACCCTGATCCTCAATAGTATGTTTGTTTTGGGGGTTCACTATTGTGTCCAGCTGCTGCCTGGGATGAAAATTGTCAAAATCATTCTCTCCTGTCCTTTTCCTTTCCTTTGCTAATACGTTTCTCTTTTTTACTTTCTTAGCTCCATTCTTTTGGAATTCTCAAAATGTCCAATTTCCCAAAATATATGATGCCTTATTAAAACCCAATTAACAACCAGCATTCAAACAATTGTTCAAATGGGTAGTCCATGAGCAACCCTGATCCTCAATAGTATGTTTGTTTTGGGGGTTCACTATTGTGTCCAGCTGTTGTCTGAGGTGAAAATTGTCAAAATCATTCTCTCCTTTCCTTTTCCTTTCCTTTGCTAATACGTTTCTCTTTTTTACTTTCTTAGCTCCATTCTTTTGAAATTCTCAAAATGTCCAATTTCCCAAAATATATGATGCCTTATTAAAACCCAATTAACAACCAGCATTCAAACAATTGTTCAAATGGGTAGTCCATGAGCAACCCTGATCCTCAATAGTATGTTTGTTTTGTTGGTTCACTATTGTGTCCAGCTGTTGTCTGAGGTGAAAATTATCAAAATCCTTCTCTCCTGTCCTTTTCCTTTCCTTTGCAAATACTTTTCTCTTTTTTACTTTCTTAGCTCCATTCTTTTGGAATTCTCAAAATGTCCAATTTCCCAAAATATATGATGCCTTAATAAAACCCAATTAACAACCAGCACTCAGACATTTTTTCAAGGTAGTAGTGCATGAGCCACCCTGATCCTCAATAGTATGTTTGTTTTGGGGGTTCACTATTGTGTCCAGTTGTTGTCTGAGGTGAAAATTGTAATCATTCTCTCCTTTCCTTTGCTAATACGTTTCTCTTTTTTACTTTCTTAGCTCCATTCTTTTGGAATTCTCAAAATGTCCAATTTCCCAAAATATATGATGCCTTATTAAAACCCAATTAACAACCAGCATTCAAACAATTGTTCAAATGGGTAGTCCATGAGCAACCCTGATCCTCAATAGTATGTTTGTTTTGGGGGTTCACTATTGTGTCCAGCTGTATTCTGAGGTGAAAATTGTCAAAATCATTCTCTCCTTTCCTTTGCTAATACGTTTCTCTTTTTTACTTTCTTAGCTCCATTCTTTTGGAACATGTCTAAATCAAAAGGTTTTTCCAAATGGTGAACTTCAGCCAACCAAGAGATTTATGTGGGATTTCTATGAAATTTCTATTGGATTTCCATGATATTTCTATGGTATGACTATTGGATTTCTATGGGATTCCTATGGAATTTCCATGATGTTTCTATGATATTTCTGGAGGGTTTCTATGGGATTTCTAAAGGGATGCTATGGGAATTCTATGGTATTCTTATGGGTTTTCCATTGGATTCCTATGGGATTTCTATGGGATTTCTATGGTGTCTCTATGATGTTTCTATGATATTTCTATGGGATGTTTGAAATCAATTGAACATAAATTGAAAGTAAGTTGGCATCAATTGAAAATCAATTGAGCGTAACTTGATGAAATCAAATGAAAATGAATTGAAATCAATTGAAAGTAAATTGAAAATCAATTGTAATCAATTGAACGTAACTTGAAACCAATTGAAAGTAAATCGAAAATCAATTAAAATCAATTGAAATCATTTGAAAGTAAATTGACATCAATTGAAATCTATAATTTTGTTTGACCACACATTATTCAGAGTCTGGCACTTTAAAATTTCTACATTTAAGAGAGTCCAAAAATTGTTAAGGGAGGGGGAGGTATCCCTACACTAATCAGGACCCAACATTAATGGAAATAACAACTATTAAAATGGACGATTTAGGGTTACCCCGTAGGAAACATCCAAATGGCAATGGAGAAACCACTGACTCTGTCACCATGAAACGATGAAACGATCCTCATCTTTCACCGACGCTCCCTGAATTGGTGGATGTTAAGGGGAAAATAGAAAGGACCCTGCGCCTGTAATTGCATCATTCAAAGATATTCAAAGTAAATAAAAAAGCAAACAGTGTACATGTATTCTCTGCAAATATGCCAGTGAAACATCCACCGTTGATGCGGATTTATCTGAAAATAGCGAAAACCTATGTCCTTCACCATCATTTTCACTATTCAAACGGCCATAACATAACTGTGTGTATACCCCGTTTGGACATATCCACAGCTACATATATATATATTGATTGGTGAGTTAAATCCCATTCTAACCCATTATGTGTGGCTTCCCAGTACGGGGATGGATGGCCATACACATTATATAATTATCCCATTCTGAGCGACCATTTAACTTGGTTAAATATGTTTTTTTCCCCGATGTATTATCATATATTATTACATCATAATATAATAATATATGATATATAATATATAATATATAATAAAAATAATATACAATATGCCATATCACTATTATTTGCACCGTCCCTTTATGTTATACACATATATCACTATATAGTTATCCCGTGAGTACAAACCCTAGGCGTTTGGTGGCGCAGACACGTCACCGCCTCGAGGTGGATGCATGGCTTTTTTCGATGACTATATCTGGTTGGTGGTGGGCGATTTTTTGGATAAATTGATAGTGGTTACCCTCTGGTAAACTAACATAACTATGGAAAATCACCACTTTTAATGGGAAAATCCACTATAAATAGCCATTTTCAATAGCTATGTTAGTTTACCAGAGGGTAATAGTGATGGTTAATAGTGCTTAATAGGCTATAAACCAACAATGGGAATATGATGATGTTCTGGTGGTTTGGAACATGTTTTTCTTGTTCCATTCAGTTGGGAATGTCATCATCCCAATTAACGAACTCATATTTTTCAGAGGGGTAGGTATACCACCAACCAGTATATATATATATAGGTATATCTAGGTGAAGTGGGCCTGATAAGTTTTTTTTTTTTTAATGGATACGTATGATACATTCTGTTTGTTTCAGTGTTGTTTTGTGTTTTTCTTGGGGTGATTTTAAGATTGTATAAACCAACTTGCTTATAACTGGGGACCCGTTCAAGCAGATGATGTTTCACAGGTACCCATCGGTCCCATGAGCTCAAAGATGTCCAAGGATTACATGATGAACACTACTGAATATGATTAAAACGTGCAGTGGGAAAGATTGTCCTTTGTGTCTTTGTTTTACAACCTGTGGTTGCCATACCTGCCTTTTTGCATGTTGTTGCTTCCTGTTGCTTGGTTTCGTCGTTGTATTGTCTGCTGTCCCACCGAGCCCATGGGAATCCATGGGAGCCAAGGAAGAAGAGTTTGATGAATACGCAGGGGAGTTTGAAAAGCACCTGTTGACGGTTTTGGACTACAAACTGCCTGAGGCCGGGGCGGCAGAAACACATACGCCGTGAAACATGTGAAAACTAAGCCATAGTATAGGTGAACTACCATAATATTACTAAAAATAATTACCATAATAATTCCATAGCTATGTTAGTCTACCAGAGGGTAGTTACTTAGTTGCCTACACGAGGTTGTTTACGTCTAGGTTCATGATCACCTAGAAGGTGGCCCCAATTTGCGCCATCTCTGACTGGTGTACCAAAAACCATTTGGTAGTAGACCCAATGGGAAATCATCCAAATTATTGCAATAATTCTCAACTTCACCAATGTTCCTATAGACATAACTATTAGACAATGGCTCATTTCTAGATGATTTAAACTCTTCAAACATGTCGATTTTCCATATTTGTACTCTGTAAAAATACCAAAGGGTAGCCCAAATTAAATATTATATACATATGATTACATATGTAAATATGTATGTGTATGTGATGTAACAGCAACAATTGAGTGATGTTTTCAGTTGCAACTTCCCCACGTCAGCATCATTTCTATGGCTTTTTGGTTGCCAGGTGCTGCTTCACAAAGCTCAACTCCTCCCTGCGCTGCCACGTGTCGTGGACCTTGGCTGCGGCACTGGGCTCTGCGGCCGCGCGCTGCGGAGTCGGGCAGCGGTGGGATGCCTCGTGGGGGTGGATCTATCGGAACCTTGGCAAGGACTGGGAAGGGCGAAGATGGGGAAAATCCCATGAAAATCCAATGAATATGAATGGATCATTACGCACCTCAGGATGTCTCAGCTGTTTTGCTTGGTGATTTTCCAAATTTGGCGAATATGATACTGATGACGCCCATTGAAGCATCAAACAAAATTTGCGATTTGTATATATATATATATACACAATTATATATATATAGTTGATTATATATATATATATACACAACATACATATATAGGTGTTTTTCCCCACCATTGGAAGGGTTTCCCCAGAACACATGATACAGAAGATGCTGCAAAGGGAACCAGTTGGAGCCGAGGCGTGCATGTTGGCCAGGGCCAAGCAGGAGGGCGGTTACGATGAGTTGCTGGGCCTTTCGCTGTCCAAACGGAGATGGCGATAGCAAAATGGCTGTGTTATGCTTTGTGAACTGATATGAATAGGGGGAGAATATGGGAATTAGGACCTCCTATTTTTTTTTTGGGGGGGGGGGACCTATGGGTACCTCATTTTCACGCAAACCCACCTGAACATGTTGTTGTTTTTTCCCTGAACATGTTGGGCATCCCAACACTCTTTGGACAGTCACCAATCGCTTGTGGCCGGTTCATGGTTTAGCACCTTGGTTTGGCTCCTCCAAGTTTTATGAACATGAGTATCTACTGATTTTTGATCGTTGCGTTTTTTTCAGACACAAAGTGTGCATGTGATATATTTGATTAGATGATTCAATTGAGCAACCGTAAAAACCCCGGCAATACTAAATATGTATTCGACGGACATTGGTTTATGGAAATTGATGGAAATTGTTAAAAGCACGAGGTAAGCGATGGGACCTTCCCAAATTAGCGATACTCCTTTTCAAGGTTATGTCATCACATTTCTCTAATATCCACATTAGCGATACCCAAATATCACATATTATTCATAGTTCATCACATATATATATATAAATGCAGCAGTTTCCTGCAAGCGATACCCCCCAAGTTTACCATATATCATTATTGTACAAACGTGTGGTAAGCGATGGGACCTTCCCAAATTTGTGGATGTCCTTTCCGTGAACCTAGGGTTTTCACAATCGCTCAATTATATAAATGTATATAATATAAAATATTAGATGAAATATGTATACATACATACTGTATGTATTATATACATACTGTAGGTAGAGGTAGAGAGAGCAAGGGACGGGTGTCTTTGCAATATGTATTAGCATGCATGGAAAAAAAAGTAAACCCTCAACTAGGACATTTTGTGATCATAGGTAACTGTGGATATACTATAAGCTATATTATATGATAATATATATATATAGTAGTATAGTTGGGTTTGGTCATATATATATATATATATATACGGTTGGTGATGTATTGAGAAGAATAAGAGCCCAACTGACTAATATTTTTCAGAGGGGTTGAAACCACCAACCAGTAGTAGTTTAATGTACACACCATATAATTTACCAGTTTCCTCTGCATTTTTTTCTGGAACAGCAATCCATTAAGTGTCGGGTCACTGGTTTTCTGGTGGCTTCGCCGTGTCTATGGGGGAAGCTGCAAAACATGTCCTTTCGGCATGTCTCGCACGAAATGCTCGTTTTTCTGCACTCACGTGTCTCGTCTCGAGTCTCTGGTTTTCCTGTGGCGTCGCCGTGTCTATCAAAATGGTTAGTCAAATCCTCCTTCTTGTCAGTTAAATCACCATTCTTATGAGTTGCGAGCGAAATCACCATTTTTTTGGGTTCCCTGCTAACTTAAAGCCTCATGTTTGTATATGTTTGTGAGTTAAGTCCCCATTTTCGGGCGTGAAATCCTTGTTACATCCCCAAGTCAGCCTTTTTGGTGTTTGGATAGGTTGTATCAGCGAGACCTCTTAGCACATTTGCAACGCGAAGGTGGTGGACCAAGACCGCTGGAGGATAGTTCCCATCAGTGGATACTCTTCAGCAAACTAAGATAGTTATGGAAAATCACAATTTTCAAGAGGTAATCGGGTAATTAAAAATGTTTTTTGTTATTTTTTTTCTATAGCTATGTGTACTATTTACAATAATTGGGTGTGTTTGAAAATAGTTTGTATAGTATAGTACTAAGCCTCGATTTACGGCCATGTTTACACGGAAAATGATGATTCACCAGCAGATTTGGGAGTGACCCATTGTAGAAACCCAAGTGCGTAATAACCAGTCGATAAGCAAATGCCTGCCATAGTTGTATCCATGCATGCCGTGGGCGGAATGGGGAATGGCAAATCATGGAATAGATGATAAAAAAACAAAAACTGTTACCATCAGATCGTTGCCCAAGCAATTTTCAGAACAATTGCTAAACATGTGTGGGTTTTGTCATTTTCGGGTCAAGTTAGAAAGTTGTTTTTCTTGCTGGTGGAGTTTGAGTTGCTCTGCCGGGTTGATCCCCATGGCGGAACCAGGTGGCCAGATGGGGATTTCCTAGGGCTACCCCAACAGTTATCATCTCATCTATTTTAGATTGGGATTTTCCATGAAATAAACCATGGCTAATTTAGGGTACATGCCTATGGAAACCCCCATATCTAGACCTGATAGCCTCCTTTTACAGTTATTCTCAATGATAATCTCTGATTGTAATGATATCAAACATATCCCCTGATGGCCTAGAACTATTATTGATAGCCCGGATCATGTGAGATTAAGATTACTCGTTGGTGGTTTCAAATATTTTTATTTTTCCATATATTGGGAATAATCATCCCAACTGACCTCAACTGACCAATATTTTTCAGAGGGGTAGGTATACCACCAACCAGATTACTTCTGGGGAGGCTCCGGCGCGGTGGATTTGCTCCTGGCGTGCGATGTCTTCATCTACCTGCGTTCGCTGGAGAAGGTCGTGACGGAGGGGCACAGGGTGCTGCGTCCTGGAGGCTTCGGTGGTGGGAGGTAGGAAGGTGGCCAGAAAACATGGGGACAGGGGGGGAAACGGATCAAACATTCCTAATTGGAAGTTTTTTTGGATTGATCCAGATGTGTGTTGCTGTTTTTCAAGAGTTGATAAAAAAAATAGGTTCATTTGGAGGTTTTCTTTTAATCAGGAAGTGATGGTCGCTTTAGGTTCCAACTGGCAATAGATAGGTGGTGTTTGTTTTTTGTTGAGGGGTTTCGGGCAGCACTAATAGGTCTTTAGGGGGGTTGTCATCACATGCTATATCACCGAGCAATCAGAGTTTGCAAAGGTTTCTATACAATAAGCAATAGTGGGGGATATTTTATTAATGAAGATGGTGAACATGCCTAGCCAGCTGAACCAGGGGTAGAACCACCAACCGACCAATCAATCTATTATATTGTAGTTGTACTTTTTTCGGAAGTTTATTGGGTCAATCTCAACATGTTTGGCCAGTGTTTGATGGTTTGTTAATATCATTCATATCACAATGTCTTGTTTTTGTTTGATGGTTCCAGTGGTTCAAAGCACCATTTTGAGACCTGGTAATGATCCGTTCAACAACGCAGCGAGGCTTCTTTTTCTTCTCCACCGAAGCGGCCACAGTGGAAGAAGCCCCTGAGGCAATGATGGCAAGGTGTAGATTCTACGGTTGGTCCAAAAAACCTAAAGTACCTGGGATGAACCACTATTTATCCACCATTTATAAATGGATAAATGGTTAAACCACCTTTGATCCACCATTTTTTTTACCTAGATACGGAAAACCACTATTTATCCATTTATAGATTATTTCGCTGGTAGTTTGGCTTTTTTGTTGCAAATGTTGAGCCGCCGCAACATGGCGCGTTCCACCCTGTCGATGTGTTGGGGATACCCTGGGGTGAACTGGCATAGACATACAAACAAACAATCCGTGTTTTCCCAGGTCATCTGTTTTCATGTCAGATTTTCCATATAGGGTAAATCTGCCAACCCTACATTTGGAATCGTTTGGGAGGAACATCTGTTCTTTTTGTAGATTCTCCTCTACAGATCCCTGAAAAGATAGAATGTCGATGAACGTGGTTTTTCCCCACCTGCCAGGTGAGGGTTGTTCAGAGTTGTTCTCCTCCTCCTTCTTCTTCTCCTCCTCTTCCTCCTCCTTCTCCTCCACCACCCCTGCCTCCACTTCCATGTCCACTTCCGCCTTGCCAACTCTTCGCTAATCTCTTCGCCAACTTCCGCGCGCAGTGGGCACTGCTGAACCTCAACTGCCGGCTTCCGATCTGAGTGGGCACGGCTGGACCTCAACCGCAAGGTTCTGAGCGCAGTGGGCACCGCTGGACCTCAGCCAGGGACCTTCCGAGCCCAGTGGGCACCGCTGGACCTCAACCTGGGACCTTCAGAGCTCAGTGGGCACCGCTGGACCTCAGCGGCCAGATGGAATGCCAGAATATATTCCAGATAGACTGCCAGAATATATGCCACATAGAATGCCAAAATATTTGCGAGAAAGAATGCCACATAGAATGCCAGAATATATGCCAGATAGAACGCCAAAATATATCAAAATATATACCAGATAAAATGCTGGAAGACATGCCAGATAGAATATCAGAATAGATGTCAGATAGAATGTTAGGTAAAATGTCAAAATATATGTCAGAATATATGACTTGAAATCCCAGGGTGGGGATCACTCGAAGTAAAGTAATTTTATCTGCCAAACATAGCAGGTGATGTTCAGCCTTGCTGAATCTTTTTGAGGGTTAAACTGTACCCATGTTTGTGAATCTCAAATCTTTGGGGACTACGATCCAAACATATCCTATTTAATCCTCCTGGTTCGGAGTCATGGCGCGAAACAGCTCAGGGCCTGGTGCAACGTGCATCTGGACGATATGCGCACAGCCGAGACTATGTGGAAGGCGCGTTTCCTAAAATATGGATACCCAAACCATTGGTTTTCCCATGTTTTCCCATTGATCATTGATCATCAGCAATAACTTGGATGATAACTTCGGGTTCCCCCATGACTTAGGAAACCTCCACATTAATATCTATACTACAAAGCTTGTGTGTGTGGACTCTCTGCACGTACATTTGTTTGAAAATTCTAGGTGCGGTTCTATTATGTTCTATTGTCCGTGGCCTTTATACTTCTTTTGGTATTATAGTATTATCATGTATTATATAGGCCATAGGATCCATGCATGGTATGCCAACAATTGGGGTATATTGATTGGATCCATGTTACCATATACAACAGCACCATGGATCCTATGGGTAGTACTGCATTGTATATATCCAAACTCTTCCAGTCATCCGTTGAAGCTGCAGGTCTCCCAACGGCATTTGTAGTAGCGATATCCGGTAAGCACAGCCACATAGCGATGGACAATCCAAAGTATAGAATTTGAAAAGCTGATTGTTCCCATTAAAACGTTCATTTCTAGGGGAGTTCCACGCAATCGCAATCTCTGGCCGGGAAGGTTTGACGGACAGACGATTCCAGATCCTTGATGCTGAGACCATCGACCTGCGAATCGTTGGAAGCTGAGATATTGCCAGCTGACAAGGGAGTTTTCCTTTAAGGTACTTGGGATTTATTGAATGTAGTCTCTATACACATGACTACATATGCATATACAATCATATATAATCATATACTACACCCATGTATAGTTTAGCACTTGGGAAACATGTTGAAAATATCTTGTCTTTCCAAAATTCCGATGATCTTCATGCCAGCTTTCACAACAAGTGCTTGGATTCCTCGGATCTTGGATCACCGATCATTGCATCCCTTCCTAAGGAAGATGACCTTCCGTTACCAGGAGATTGTTATTTGCTGCAACGTCTTCCGTGACAGGCGAGTTCACGAGGTTCCAAAGGGGAATTTTCTGAGTCGCTGGGTTTTTTTCCAGGATCCAACAGGAACTGGGAAGATGTTTCGGAAAAAAAACATAAGAAACATGTTGTTTAATATTTGGTTAACCATGTGTTTTATATTATATATAGATTATTGTATATGTTTATGTGTTTTTAGTTAGTTTGTTTTTTTTTAACCATGTGTTATAATTAGTTTCCTGGGAGCTATGGTTTTTTTCAGGTCCACGCAGATCTGAGGTTAGGTGCCATTGCTCGCCTGTCACGAGATCGCTTTTGGAGAAAAAGAGCTGTGCTTTGCAATTGGATCGGGTGGATTTGAAAGGAACCAACTGGGCTTCCCGTATCTAAACAAGGAAACTACATGGGTATATCACTATGAAACGGTAGTTGGATCATGTTGGATCAAGATCTTTCAATTCAGTGGGAGTGCATCCCAGGAATCGCGGGTAGTAACCATTTGTATCAAAAACTCGTAGCCAGATATTCCATACTCCTAGTTCAAGCGCATCCAGGTAATCAATGGCCATTTCAGGTACCTGGACTGGAGGTACAGTTCCATATGAAGCTATACCTTGAGGATATATCTCCTGAAAATCAGCCCTTGCATAGGCCTAAAAAAAAATAGACCTTATATTGTAGGCACCTCCAATTTAGGTTCCTGAAATGGCCAGTGAAGTTCCCACAGTGGAGTAGGGATTCTATCCCACATTATGATATTCCTGAAATTGTATCCCACAATGATACTTAGATAGTTATCATTAATTGTACCACTAAATCATACTATTTAATTATCACCCAACGAAATCCCTACAATACACTATTATACATCATATTATTTAATTATCCATATTATCCATATTATCCATATTTTCTCACACCACCCAAAGGATGGAATCCATCTAATTGTCCATGTTATCCATATTGTTTATCCCACTAAATTCCTACCATCATTATCATACTATTTCATCATCAATATTATACCACTAAATTCCTAATAGTATTAGATAGTATTTTATAATGATAAGTGTTCCATATTATCCCACAATAGGGGGTCCATTCACAGAATTGGATGATGGGCTTTGTAATAGAGGAACCCGTATATTTGGTTGTAAAAAAATGTTTAAAGAGGAAACCCCTATATGTGACGGTTAAAAAATTATATGTGATTGTTAAAAACACACATATTTGATGGTACAAAAAATATTTGATGGTAAAAAACAGCTATATTTGATGGTTCAAAAACAACTATATTTCATGGCAAAAAGAAACAAAAAACTATATTTGATGGTAAAAGAACTATATATGATGGTTAAACAAAAATTAAAATTTGTTTTAAACAAGCTTTATTTGATGTTAAAAAAACTGTATTTGATGGTAAAAAAAACTGCGTTTGATGATAAAAAAACATATATTTGATGGTAAAAGAAAAGTATATTTGATGGAGAAAAAAAACACATATTTGATGGTTAAAAAGATCAAATATTTGATGGTAAAAAACATGTATTTGATGGTAAACTACTTTTTTGATGGTTAAAAAAACTAAGTTTGATGGTGTTAAAAAAAACACTATGTTTGATGGTAAAAGATCATTAAACAAACTGTTGATGTTCAAAAAAGCTAAAATTGATGTTGAAAAAACTATATGTGATTGAAATAACTATACTTGATGGTTAAACATATATATTAGTTTAAAAAAAAACACAAACACATGATGGTTAACAAAACAACAACTATTCCGGATGGTTAAACATATATATTTGGTGATTCAACAAACTATATTTGATGGTAACAAAAATAACTATATTTGATGGTTTAAAACATAATATAATTTATGGTAACAAAAACTTTATGTTTGATGGTTAAAAAATACTTTACTTCGAGTGATCCCCACCCTGGCATTTCAAGTCATATATTCTGACATATATTTTGACATTTTACCTAACATTCTATTTGACATCTATTCTGATATTCTATCTGGCATGTCTTCCAGCATTTTATCTGGTATATATTTTGATATATTTTGGCGTTCTATCTGGCATATATTCTGGCATTCTATGTGGCATTCTTTCTCGCAAATATTTTGGCATCCTATGTGGCATTCTATGTGGCATATATTCTGGCAGACTACCTGGCATATATTCTGGTATTCCATCTGGCCGCTGAGGTCCAGCGGTGCCCACTGAGCTCGGAAGGTCCCAGGTTGAGGTCCACTGGGCTCGGAAGGTCCCTGGCTGAGGTCCAGTGGTGCTCACTGCGCTCAGAACCTTGCGGTTGAGGTCCAGCCGTGCCCACTCAGATCGGAAGCCGGCAGTTGAGGTCCAGCAGTGCCCACTGCGCGCGGAAGTTGGCGAAGAGATTAGCGAAGAGTTGGCAAGGCGGAAGTGAACGTGGAAGTGGAGGCAGAGGTGGTGGAGGAGAAGGAGGAGGACGAGGAGGAGGAGCAGGAGGAGGAGAAGAAGGAGAACAACTGTGATAAAATCTAACAGACCTCACCTGGCAGGTGGGGAAATATATATATATATATATATTTATTCATTTGGCGGTAAAACCAAAACTATATTTGATGGTAATGATGGTAACCAAAACTATTTATTTGATGATAAGAAACATAAATATATATATATGTATATATATATATATATTTGATGGTAAACACAGTTTGTTTGGTGGTTAAAATCTCTATATATATATATGATGGCAACAAAAACAATATATTTGATGATAAAAACAACTATGTATATTTGATGGTTAAAAAACACTATATTTGATGGTAACAAAAACTATATATTTGATGATAAAAACAACTGTATATATATATATATTTGATGGTTTAAACAAAAAAATATATTTGATGGCAACCAAAACTATATATTTGATGATAAAAACAACTATATATATATATGATGGTTTAAACAAAAAACTATATTTGATGGCAACCAAAACTATATAGTTGATGATAAAAACAACTGTATATATATATATATTTATTTATTTGATGGTTTAAACAAAAACTATTTTTGATGTTAACAAAAACTATATATTTGATGATAAAAACAATTGTATATATATATATAAATTTGATGGTTTAAACAAAAACTATTCTTGATGGTAACAAAAACTATATATTTGATGATAAAAAACAACTATATATATATGATGGTTTAAACAAAAACTATTTTTGATGGTAACAAAATCTATATGTTTGATGATAAAAACAACTGTATATATATATATATATATTTGATGGTTTAAACAAAAACTATTTTTGATGGTAACAAAATCTATATATTTGATGATAAGAAACAACTATATATATTTGATGGTTTAAGCAATTTTTTGATGGTAACAAAAACGATATATTTGATGATAAGAAACAACTATATATATATATATATATATTGTAACAAAAAAATGTCCGGTGAAGATTTTCCCCAAGAAACCACGCCATTGATCCATGAGATTCCACTCTTCTCCTCACGATGCCTTGGTGTTTTGGGATCCCGAAACGTGCTGTCCTGTGAGTTTTGAATGGTTTAATTGTTTGATATACATTTATGATATATACATTTACTGTAGATAGGTTTATGATTTGTATATATATATATATATATATTAGTAGTATGATTATTTAACAAACGTAGACTGTTGCCAAATTTGTTGACTTCTCCTATCTTTGGTCTATCGTCCCATGACGACGTTCCGCATCTGAGGCATCAAACTCTTTCAGGAGGTCATGATCTCCTTGGGATTTCCACAAAATGCCCGAGGTTGCTTGGTCATGTTTGAGGGAATTGTATGTATAATTGTATATATGGAGGTTTCCTAAAACGGGTACCCCAAAACAGGATTATCATATGATGGATGATTTGGGGGTACCCACATTTTAGCAAACCTCCAGAATAAATATATATATATATATATATATGCACCTATTTGTGATGCATAAAACTATAGATATATTGATATATGTCATCATCAGCACCTAAAGTAACACACCCGCATATTCTCATTGCAGATTGGGTACCACTTGGGGATCCGAATGCAGTTGGGTGCCTGAGTTTCTTCAGTTTTCAGGGGCACAGCACTGACAAGACCTGACAGTTGTCCATGAAGTGCTAATAGACCTACTGATTTTAAAATGTTATGGTTATCGGGTAGATATATAACATTCAGGGCTGCTACCTTCTGTTTGCATTGAAGAAATCTTGCCAGAATGGGCATGTGATAAAATTATGAACCCCAAAAGTGACCCAAAGTGATGGTCGCGTATCAAAGAATAAGAAGAAAACTACACAAATGACCCAATTTGTTTGTCCACTGGCAACCTATTCCTGATCCATACCTTTAGATGGTCGTCTTACTGGGATGTGAACGGTTCAGTTTGTCGCTATTCCAAGATAGGCAATCTAACATCACACACCGCTTAAACCACAAGTCTCAATAGGTCAAGGTAAATCATTGAAGTAAATCATCTATAATTGAGGTCGTTTTCCAGAGCTATGTTAATATTTCCAGAGGGAAATTTGATGTAATTCGTGCTGTGAGAGTTGACACTGTAGTGGTCCTTCCAAGTACGAATCATCTGCAAATGTCCGAAATCCAGTAGTGATCCGCCTCACCAGTGTAGTTTGTAGTTTGTCCAAAAATGGAGCAGTCTGAACCTGGTGACATGCTGCATGTGAATTTTCCACAATTTCCCATCAGTTGTTCATATTTCCTCAATTTCACTGATTTTCTTAACATTTTCCCAACATGTTGATTGGTGACATTCCCCCCCAAAAACACTGGTTGACACTGCTGACTCCTTTGCTGCAGGTTTGTTCGAACAGTGGAAGAAGGCACTTTTTTTTTCGGGTGAATCCCATGAGAAACTGTGCTTTCAACGGAATTCCGCTTATATCTGGTTGGTGGTTTGGAACATGACTTTATTTTTCATTATTTTCCATATATTGGGAAAAAGTATCTCAAGTGAATTTCATATTTTTCAGAGAAGTTGAATTCACCAACCAGTTATTATTATGTATGTATACTTCAATTCATCCAATCATATGTATATATATATATATATAATCGTGTTATATGTGTATATATGTATATATAATCGTGTACTACGCACTAAGTGACTAATGATGGTTAGATACGCTTCAGAAACTTGAGTTAATATACATGTTAGCTACTGTTGGTGTGGTTTGGACCCCTGGGACCAACATCTTTGCTGCTTTCATCACCAGAGCCATTTAGACACAGATGCTGGTGCTGTTGGCTTATGATCATTTTCTAAACCCCAAACAAATATAACTCTGAAACATATCCTCAATGATACGGTATAATATCAAAGCTATCCCCAATAGCCAAACATTGGTGATTCTATTGGGTATATCTCCTACAAGACCCAGGTACAATCTAAATATGTATATATATATATATATTTTTTACATGTACACAGGGTACATCATGAAATTCAGAATATATTTTCCATAAATGGGGGTACCCCATTTATCATCCATTTATAGATGTATTTTCCATTATAAATTAACGATTTTGGGGATCCTCCATTTATGGAAACCCATATTATAACTATATTTGGCATATCCCCTAGCTATTCATATGGGCCATCTTTGAGCTGTAGGTGATGCAACCGGAAGCCGAGCCAGATGAGGCTGAGGCGAAAGACAAGGAACGGCTGCGACAGCAGGGGCTGGTTGGAATCATTAATGGGATTAATTAATGGGTCATTAATGGACAATTAATGGAAAATGAATGGAGTGTTAATTCATGTTTCTAATACATTTTAATTATGTTCATCAGAGTGTGTGGCCTGTTTAAATTGGTTTAAATGGTGGTTAATTGATAATTCATGCGCATATTTAATAGGACAATGGTGTTCAATTATGTTTACATTGTGGTTAATGGGGACTTTTAAACCAACAATCATGTGATAATTGATATGGAAAGAACACCATGAATTTTGATAATTTCTGTGTTTGGGTTTCCCCATCCAGAAACGGCTCCAATACCATCTGAGAAACGCGGTGTTTCACGGCGAGGACAAAAAGAAAGGCGGCAAGGACGACAAGAAGGCGGACTTCAGCCATAGGTGATGAGCCCCGAAGTTCCCAGTGAAAGAGGACACAACACTTTGGGAAAATGGATCATCCATTAATTATCCGAAGTGAAGTGATTACATTAATTTACCATTAGTGACGGTTGATTATCCAAAGTTCCCATTATTGTTAATTAGATTCCCGTTATTGTTGGTAATTAATGCATGATCACCTGTAAGTGATGATTCATGGGGAATGTAATCAGCAATAATGGGATAACCTAGTAGACAATTACGGGAACGTCTGATGGTCTACACTCCGGTAATCAAACTTGGCAATGGAAATCCCATATATAAATTAGCGTTTAGATGGGAAAATCATCAGATGTGGGGTGTTTTCCATTGCCATGTTTGATTACCAGAGATTAACCAACCAAAGTGGTGATTTAATGCCAAATCCGCTGGGCCTTAGTTTAAGAACTAGTGATAAATAGTAACCACTCCTGAGTGACGTGCTCCTCAGTTTCGAATGGTGAATATGATCTATGATATAATCCTGTCCCTTATACATATATATATATATATTATATAACTATATATATATATGTATGTAAATATATATATATATACACATTAGATACTGATATTTTCCGTGTGAAGATCCTGGTTTAGCTCTGGAACTAATCCCATCCCCATTCGTCCCAAATATGACACAAATCCTCCGTTCCAGATCATTGTGTGGGGATGGGACTGTACGGAGTTCCTCTCATGGATTTGATTGAAATGGAGTACCCCTTTATCCACCCATCAATCACCAACTTCTGCGAAGACATGAAACCATTTTAAAGCATTATTTCATGCTGTACATATTACACATCCCATCATATCTCATCACATTCATTTCTCATCACATTCGTTTCTCATCACATACATACATACATGCATGCATGCATGCATGCATGCATGCATCATGAGTGCACGCCTGCACGCATGTACGCATGTACGCATGCATACATGCATACATGCACACATGCATACATGTATCCAGACATCCAGACATCCAGACATCCAGACATCCACACATCCACACATCCACACATCCATACATCCAGACATCCATATATCCATCCAACCATCCATCCATCCATCCATGCATGCATGCATGCATACATACATACATACACACACACACATGTTTGCATCCCAATACCCTTTACATGTCCCATTAAACATCTTCAGCACTCTCCCATTGCATCCCTGAAAACATGGTTCTTTCCTATGGAAACCAGCAGTTCCTGTAGCATCCTCCGGGCCAAGCACAGGACAAAAAGAAGGATGGAAAGGCCGCGGTATGACACGATGAACGCAACAAAAGGATGATGGTTGATTGGTCATGTAGTTTAGGGATGTTTAGGGATGTTTAGGGCCTTCAATACTCTTAAATTAAGCTACCTGGTTTATGAATGGGATTGGTATGGAACCAATCGCTGATATCTATCAACCCTATTAACCATCGTGCAAACTCCCAGGTGGGGCAATTCAATGCTTTGCTTGAAAAGTGGATATGGGGAGATAAAATGTGTCCAGACCTCATAATTTCGAAAACCTTCAATGTTCGGTTTCATCAACCAATGTCCATCCATTTTCCATTTCATTCTTCAGCAGGGTTGCGACAAGCCGCATGCATTTGAAATTCTGAACATCCATGAAATGATTGTTGGTGTCGTGATTCATCCTTTGTGGTTGAACACGGGTCCAGTCATTGCTGAAGAATCATCACCCGTGTTCAGGACAAGAAAGATGATAAAAAGGACCAAAAAGGCAAGAAGGACGACAAGAAGAACGACAAGGCAAGTGGCAGTCAGTACTTCCTGCGATTTGCATCCCATCTGGGAGATGGTTAGTAACCCACATATCACTGATCTGAAAATGGTTGAGCCCCGGGGCCACCAGCTCACGCATTTCGCATATATTCTGAGAATGGTAGCTGTGTAGTTCATTCAATAACGAGCATCAAGAATAAAGAAAGTCAGCAAATTGTTAGTCAGTTAGTCATTGCAGCAAGATCTGTCAGGAAAATCATATGTTCACCACTTCAGACTGCGAATGCAAGTTGTCCTCATCACACACACACACTAGATAAGAAAGGATCTTTATATCGATCCGTCGGGAACTGAATCCCCACACATGCAATTGGATTAGACTAGTGTATATGGGACTATGGTGGCCACCAGCTGCGACTTATATGCACCCGGGTGCGCCACCAAAGTCCCGCTTGTACGTTTACACGGGTCCCAGTCCCGGGGAGATGTCTTCGTTGATCACCGACCCCCCCGGGACCCCGGTGATCCCCTGCATTAAAATATAATATAATTTAATATATAGATGAACGGCAAACGAGGTTTTACGTCTGTTCAGACTTTACACACACACACACTTGTAAGACAGAATGTCGGTTCACGAGGCTCATATTGATTTGTGATTTTTTGCTTGTGAAGAGGCCGTTGTACCCAAACATGTTTTAAACAATGACAAATTGAGTACGGTCGCCGCTGTGAATGAATCACAGAATTCAGAAATCGAAATGGTCACATGGCAGGTACGTCTGACTGATCAGGTCAGATATCACCAGCACTCATCCAGTGTCTTCGTTGGTGCAAGACTGGATGGGCTGCTTGCACCCCCTGCCTTAAAACTGAAAAACTGAGCAATTCATAAATCCTTTGGAAACAGGGGTTGACCCCCCCCACACGCACACCCACACACACACACACATATACATACACACATACACACATACACACATACACACATACACACAGACACAGACACAGACACAGAGACAGAGACAGCCAGCCAGCCAGCCAGGCAGACAGACAGACACACACACACACAGATGGCGGGATTGTGCCAGGTGAAATGTGTACTTGTTTTTTTGGTTGACGATTCCAACGTTAGCAGCTCCAAACATCGCAAAGGTTTGATACATGAGACCCCATGCTCAAACCCCTACCGTGACCCCCTAATCCATAGTTAAATTCCATGAATTTCCCATGAAAATCACAAGAAAATCCAAGGAAAATCCCATGAAAATCACATGAAAATCGAAGGAAAATCCCATGAAAATCCAAGGAAAATCCCATGAAACTCAAGGGGGTAAACTATGGTGGTCGACCTGAAATTCCAACCCCAGGATGATGATCTAGACAGCTTCAAGGTAACCAAGGAGGCGCCCGGGTGGTGAATGATTACTGTAGTGAGTTGGGATCATACTCAAATTGATCATACTTGGATTTTGACCCACTCCGATATAGGTTTCTTGAGTCATGGAAAATTCCCAAAGTCACCATGGTTGTTTCGATACTAAGTTATGGTCTAATTTGGATGATTTGGGGGTAGCCTCCATTTGAGGAAACCCCCGTATACTGGGGATTATCACCATCCATGAAATTATGGGACATCCATGGAAATACTGTTAACCAACCAGTATAATGAACTGCTTTGGCCTCGTCTAAATTGAACATGTTTTGTGCCCGAGAGCGTCTGAGCGAAGGGTTCTTCCAAAAGTGGGGGTCTGTCAAACATTTTCACATCTTCACATCTTCACATCACATCTTCAAGTCTCACATCTTCTCATCCTCACATCCTTACATCTTCACATATTCTCATCTTCACATCTTCACACCCTCACATCTTCATATCTTCTCATCTTCACATCTTCTCATCTTCACATCTGCTCATATTCACATCTTCTCATCTTCACATCTGTTCATCTTCACATCTTCACATCTTCACATCCTCACATCTTCTCATCTTCACACCTTCTCATCTTCACATCTGCTCGTTTTCAATTCTGCTCATCTTCACATCTTCTCATCTTCACATCTTCTCACCTTCACATCTGCACATCCTCACATCCTCACATCTTCACACTCACATCTTCAAATCTGTACATCTTCTCATCCTCACATCCGCACATCTTCACATCCTCACATCTTCACATCTTCTCATCTTCACATCTGCTCATATTCACATCTTCTCATCTTCACATCTTTTCATCTTCGCATCTTCACATCTTCACATCCTCACATCCTCACATCTTCACATCTTCTCATCTTCACATCTGCTCATATTCACATCTTCTCATCTTCACATCTTTTCATCTTCGCATCTTCACATCTTCACATCCTCACATCTTCACATCCCCACATCTTCAGATCTTCACATCTTCACATTCTCTCTTGCCCTCTTGCTCTCTTGCCCTCTTGCTCTCTCCGTCTTTTCTATTTCTCTCTTAAGGCGCGGGGCAGTGCCAACGAGACGGTACGAAACGAAACCTTTTCGCACGAAACGAGCTTCGATCGCCAAAAACTGCGGTAAAATTCCGATTTTGAGTGTGCCGCGACAAACCTTTCGCACGAAATGAGGTTCAATCGCCAAAAACTGCGGTAAAATATTGAGTGTGCCGCGACAACTCTTTCGCACGAAATGAGGTTCGATCGCCAAAAACTGAGGTAAAATTGTGAGTGTGCCGCGACAACTCTTTCGCACGAAATGAGGTTCGATCGCCAAAAACTGAGGTAAAATTGCGATTTTGAGTGTGCCGCGACAACTCTTTCGCACGAAATGAGGTTCGATCGTCGAAAACTGCGGTAAAATGGTACTTCTGTGTGAAAAAGTGTCTGTGTGTAAAAGCGTCTGTGTGTAAAAGCTCCTGTGTGTAAAAGCGTCTGTGTGTAAATGCGTTTGTGTGTAAAAGCGTCTGTGTGTAAAAGCGTGTGTGTGTGTGTAAAAGTGTCTGTGTGTAAAATCTTCTGTGTGTAAAAGGTTCTGTGAGTAAAAGTATCTGTGTGTAAAAGTGTCTGTGTGTAAAAGCGTCTGTGTGTAAACGCGTCTGTGTGTAAAAGTCGCTGTGTGTAACAGTGTCTGTGTGTAAAAGCGTTTGTGTGGAAAAACACTTCCATGTGTAAAAGCTTCTGTGTGTAAAAGTGTCTGTGTGTAAACGCGTCTGTGTGTAAACGCGTCTGTGTGTAAAAGCTTCTGTGTTTAAAAAGTGTCTGTGTGTAAAAGCTCCTGTGTGTAAAAGCTTCTATGTGTAAAATAGCTTCTGTGTGTAAAAGCTCCTGTGTGTAAAAGGTTCTGTGTGTAAAAGCTTCTTTGTGTAAAAGCATCTGTGTGTAAAAGCTTCTGTTTGTAAAAACTTCTTTGTGTAAAAGCTTGTGTGTAAAAGCTTGTGTGTAAAAGCTTCTGTGTGTAAAAGTTTCTGTGTGTAAAAGCTTCTGTGTGTAAAAGCGTTTGTGTGTAAACGCGTCTGTGTGTAACAGCCTGTGTGTAAAAGTGTCTGTGTGTAAAAGCTTCTTTGTGTAAAAGCTTCCGTGTGTAAACGCGTCTGTGTGTAAAAGCTTCTGTGTGTAAAAGTGTCTGTGTATTAAAACTTCTGTGTGTAATGCGCCTGTGTGTAAACGCGTCTGTGTGTAAAAGCGTCTGTGTGTAAAAGTGTCTGTGTGTAAAAGCGTTTGTGTGTAAAAGCGTCTGTGTGTAAAAGCTTCTGTGTGTAAAAGCTTCTGTGTGTAAAAGCGTCTGTGTGTAAAACCTTCTGTGTGTAAAAGCGTCTGTGTGTAAAAGCTTCTGTGTGCAAAAGCTTCTGTGTGTAAAAGCTCCTGTGTGTAAAAGCTTCTGTGTGTAAAAGCTTCTTTGTGTAAAAGCATCTGTGTGTAAAAGCTTCTGTGTGTAAAAGCTTCTTTGTGTAAAAGCTTCTTTGTGTAAAAGCGTCTGTGTGTAAACGCGTAAAAGTGTCTGTGTTTAAAAAGTGTCTGTGTGTAAAGGCGTCTGTGTGTAAAAGTCTATATGTGTGAAAATGTTTGTGTGCAAAAGCGTCTGAGTGTAAAAGCTTCTTTGTGTAAAAGCTTCCGTGTGCAAACGCGTCTGTGTGTAAAAGCTCCTGTGTGTAAAAGGATCTGTGTGTAAATGCGTCTGTGTGTAAAAGCGTCTGTGTGCAAAAGCGTCTGCGTGTAAAAGCGTCTCTGTGTAAAAGCGTCTGTGTAAAAGCGTCTGTGTGCAAAAGTGTCTGTGTGCAAAAGTGTCTGTGTGTAAACGCGTAAGAGTGTCTGTGTTTAAAAAGCGTCTGTGTGTAAAAGGGTCTGTGTGTGAAAGTCTATATGTGTGAAAATGTTTGTGTGCAAAAGCGTCTGAGTGTAAAAGATTCTTTGTGTAAAAGCTTCTGTGTGTACAAGGGTCTGTGTGTAAAAGCCTCTGTGTGTAGAAGTGTTTGTGTGTAAAAGTGTCTGTGTGTAAAAAACTTCTGTGTGTAAAAGCTTCTGTGTGTAAAAACTTCTGTGTGTAAAAGCTTATGGGTGTAAAAGTGTTTGTGTGTAAAAGCGTCTGTGTGTAAAAGTCGCTGTGTGTGAAAGTGTTTGTGTGTAAAAGCGTCTGTGTGTAAAAGTGTCTGTGTGTAAAAGCTTATGTGTGTAAAAGCGTCTGTGTGTAAAGGTGTCTTTGTGGAAAAGCGTCTGTGTGTAAAAGCTCCTGTGTGTAAAAACGTCTGTGTGTAAAAGCTTATGTATGTAAAAGTGTCTGTGTGTAAAAGGTTCTGTGTGTGAAAAACTCTACAGAGGTTACGATGCAAACTATTGTCTTGTACTTGTAATATATATATATATATATTGTCTTGGTACTACTCTTCTCGTCTGCCTATCATACATTTTTAATATATTGTCTTGTAATATAGTGTCGCCATACTAACAGCAGAAGAAGACTCTGCTCCTCTACGCTCTCGGGCCATCCGTCGTCTAGTTTTTCATAGCGGCTTGGAAGATTAGTGTCCACTCGAGATTTGTTGTTTTCGGGGTCT